TTAATGTGACAGAGATTTCAATGTGGTGTTGAGTGACAGAACTGGTATAGTGATGCATGTGACAATCATATGATGTACAAACTAAATTCCAGAGGAACTGGGACAATGTGTAAAATGTCAATGGAAGCAGCAAGAAGTAATCTACAAATCCATTTCAACCTGTATTCAACTGAAAAAAGCACAAAGAAAAATAAGTAATATTTTAATACATCAACTTGATAGTTTTTTAAAAGTAATAGCTATTTCAAAAGTTGGAACAGGCTCATGTTCACCACTATGTAAGGTAACGTCCCCATTTAATAACACTCAGTAGTCCGTTTGAAATCGAGGACACAAACAGTACTTCAGCTGGTCAACAGTCAGGGGTCCTGTGCGATGAATTTTGCACTTCATTATCCACCACATGTTTTCGATGGGAGAGAGGTCCAGTCTGCAGGCAGGCCAGTCTAGTACTGGCATCCTGTGACTATGAAGCCACACTGACAAAATATGTGCCGAGTGTGGCATGGCATTATCCTGCCGGAACGAGCAGGGGCATCCCTGAAAAAGATGACATCTGGAAAGCAGTATATGTTGTTCCAAAAACGCATTTGCACCCTTCTGTGTCAATTGTGCCTTCACAGATTAGCAAGTTGTCCATGAAGAGAGCACTAATGTAGTCATTGGCCATCAGCGAAGCTGTCTCGTGAATGTCGCTTATAACAGTCGGGATAGCCCTTCTCCTCATTCACCCTGAGAACACAGTGTCCATTACTTCCAAATCATCTAAAAAGATGAACTTGTCCAAGCACAGCACTTATTTCCACATAATGTAAATCCAATTTAGATTAACTCAAGCCCACAAAAGTTGGCAGAATCTGTGAATGGTGTCAATATATGCCTCTTCCTTTGTGTAGTAGAATCTTATCTCCCAGTTATATGATGCCGCAGACACTGATTTCTGTTCAGTGACACAGGTTTTCTGAAGTATTCATCAGCCTATGTGGTTTTGCCTATTACAGAGGCACGTTAGCTCTGTAGATGCATGTAGTGCCATCTGAGGGCTGGAAGGTCACACGGATGCATTATCTGTATTCGGCCTTGTCTTTTACACTCAGGGAATGCTCCGGTTTCCCCAAATACTCTGAATCTTTTCACAATATTATGGATTGTCAACTGTGAAATCCCTACATTCTGTGCAATCAGACACTAATAAACTTTGTGCCTCTTTTATTAAAATTTGCATTAGTCACAAATTAACATATTGCCTATGCCCAAAAAAATAAAATGTCATTTCATTACCTCAGTGCTATCTTCTTCTATCTCCATTTTTTACATTTTCAATGATATTTATACAACTCAAAAGGCGGGCAATAAGTCTTTGTTATGAAATCATGTCTGCCAGGATTATGATCCCTGTTTCAGCGCATTTCAGGTCCATCTCATTCTATCATCCGATATTTTAAAGAGTGTCCTATCCCGGTCTAACTCCGTTCTATCCAATCAAGTTGTTGCAAGTGAAGTTCTCACTAATGTTCTTTCTGGGTTCTCCCCGGTTTTCCTCCCAAGATAATTCTGGAAGCCGCTGAATAAGAGAAATTTTTGAGTATGGCTTAAAAACCAAGAAAATTAATAAATATTGTGTTGCTGAGGGATTGTGTTCATTCCTGGGATTACTGAAATACTGCTGATCGTGGTGAAAAACATCAATCAATAGATAATTCAATCAAGCAGTCATTCATTCATTTCTTAGTCTTGTTAAGCCAAATATCTTGAACAGTAATTATAAACTTAACTGACTCCCATGCTTGACTGACGGATCTCCTTTTCCCATGAATGAGGTAACGAGCTCAGACTTTTCTGCTGCTGCATGGATTTACCCCATGGCATTTATTTATTGTCCCTGAAAATACAGCCTTTTATAGAACAGCATTCTTCAAAGCAAGAATCAAAAAGAAGGCCTAGAAGTTGTGCACTCCTTGGATGCTAGATGAGATAGCACTAATTCAAAGTTCCTAAAAGTTTGATAAAATGCTATCACCGAGAAACGATTCTTCATTTCCATAAAAATTCAGTCAGTTTCAGCTAAGTTGAACGTTCATAGTGAAGTATAACCACATTTACAGATAACTGCCAAATATTAGACGTGGTCGATAAGGAGAGACAAATTCCATCATGTTGAATATTGGAAGCTTTATTTATTAAAACCGGAAATATGGAGATACAACAAAATAGCAATCAGGTTGCGACTTGGTAAAAACATCCTAAAATTCCCTTTCTCTAATCACATCTACAGATGGCCTCAAAAAAAAATAAAAAAATAAAAATTCAAAAGGACCACCTTTTTGCCATTATTGCTTTTGGCATAAGTGCATCCCTATTTGAAGAGTCAGGATGAGAACATGTTGCCCGCCCGCAGTAATCACTGTATAAAGTGCTGAGGTCCCTCAGCCACCATCACAGCACCTGGGCTCCAGGTACGAGCAGATATACTGTAAACCAGCAGTGTCCTCTCTCACTCTTCACTCAGGCAAGCAATAAGGAGTCTTTTGCTTGAATGTTCTGTTCAATTCATTCAACTTCTTTCTCAATTGCTTTCTCCCACTGTCTGTCCTTTTCTTTAAAATTGTTCAACAGATCCAAGAAAGTCATGCTTAAAACCAGCCAAAACCAAATACAACATTTCATTATAATCAAACGGAATGGCAGACTGAAGTGGACAACATCAATGTAACCCTCAGGAATACAAGCAATGCTGAGCCAATGTATTAAAAAAAAAAATGGCTGAAAAAAGAATGGTGGGAAATGTGATAAAAAGGTTTAAGACAAACTTTGCCTTAATCCAGAGTAATAAATGCAGGCATAAAAAGTGGCAGATTAGTTGTTTCCCATATCAAATCTAGATTAGTGGGATCAAGGATACCTTGCAAATTTGAAATGAACTGAGACAAGAAAAGCATTTAAATTAGGTTGATCAGGAGATGAGGTACATGCCAAACAATTTCATCAGAAAGGAGGCTGCACTTCAAAAACCTCTCTGAGCAAGAGAGCACTTCACGGATCAAGATTGTTACAAGGCATCCTATAGAGGTACAGTACCAGTCAAAAGTTTGGACATACCCACATTTTTCTTACAAGACTTGTTAAATAAAGAAATAGGTACTGTTTATTTTGCAAAAAAAAAAAAAAGATCTAATTCTTAAATCCATCAAACTAACCAGCATTTTCTGCCTTATTTACAAAGCATTCTCTCCTTTTTTTTTTTTTTTTTTTACAAGAGCAGTAATATGGCTATAATGAGTTTGCTGGTGAGCGGCCGTCTAAGTTCCCAAAGATGTGCTGCACTTGTGATTTGTTTTTCATTGACTTTTTTGCCCTATAAGTTCCAAAACAGCTTGTCTTTAATTTGGCTGTTGGAAAATGGAAGGAGCTTATTTGTCTGCTTACTTTGCAAAATATGGCTTCTTTGAGAATTCAAAAAATTTGGACACTATTCAAACAAGTAAATTATTCTCTTGTAACTTCTGACTGTTTACCTCTTACCAGATTCCATTTGAGATTATATAGAGAAGTTAAGCCATTTAAATTTCTCTAAAAACAAAGCGCTGTGACATTAGCAAAGTGTGTCCAAACTTTTGACTGGTACTGCACTTAACCCTTTGAACCCTATAGGTGGGTTTTGCAGCCAAGTAGAGAACGTGCACTAACCAAGAAAACTGGCCTCCAAAGATGTGACTCTGATCACATGACTTTTTGTTGCCATGTGACCTTGTTTAAGATCTGCTGGTTTCTCCCTCACAGTAAGCTGTGTTTTGGCATGGGGGGGGTCACAATCCCTTTATATAATGCAGGGTTCAAAAACAGCATTTGCTGTGGAATCCATGAAGAAGGATGCCAGGAATTCATGAACTTTCATCTTTAAAAAACAATCAAACAGCTTCAGGTAAAGACTAGTATCTTCCTCTTTTCATTGATGAAGCCGAAGTAATCCATGTGGTCTCGATTGAATAATAATAATAAGGGCCTGAGCCATCTATAATAGGGCCTGAGCCATGGCTCCTTGGAGATTTAATTTACACCACTATTTACTCCTACACTAGCTCTAATCTTAACTTTGAAAGGAGATGACTTTAACTCTTTTCCCCATAGACTCCCCCCTCCCAGTCCCCATAATGACTACAAATGACGATCGTAGGGGAGGCTAGGGAAAAGGTCCATTGATATACATGCAGGCATTATATGTAGTCATTACGGGGAAAGAGTTAAAGCTGCTGTTGAAGCAAAACTGAAATAACACAATAATACTATCAAACTTAAAAATTGACATGCACTTAAGCATCCTATGTGGTCATTATGGGGAAAAGAGTTCAAATAATTTTAAACAGGTCATTTCAAATTTATGACTACTGTAATCTGTGAATTAGAAAGTAAAATGTTCTAACTCTGGTTTAAAAGGGCATTTTTGTCCAGGACTAGGCTTAATCCCCATCATCAAAACTGCTCATTTACATTCTCCCTCTATTTCTCAGGAGAGAGAAAGCAGTGTCATTACCCATCAGTTTCTTGCAGTAATACATCTCAAATCCCACAGGGTCCTCATAATTGCCTCAGCTTTAATCAAGGAGACAAGAAAAGGCATTTCCTTTGTTTACTTCATGTTAATGCTAATCAACTGCAGGTTTATGAGGATGTATAAATCAGCCCTGAGAGATGGTGATCCCTGACATATGACTGAAGTTAAGTCATTGGCTAAAGATTTGCAGGAGGGGGTGTGTCTGCTGGTCCAAGTGGTCCATTAACATTCCAGCAGCACACACGCCACTGCTGATGACACAATAAGCAGGGGCATAACTATCCAAATTGGATGAGAAAGGGTGCTTGGCCTCATGGGCGTCACTTTGTTTTGAGAACTGCAGGGGAAAATGATCGTGGTCGTCAATGTCTTCTGACAAGTGCTTGGGGACAATGACCGGTTTGATGTTTCACACCTGTTTTTTAGTGAGCCTGTCAGTGCTTTTGGAGACGCGGTAGCGCAGTGGTTAAGTAGATTTGACTTGGGATCAAAAGGTCCTGAGTTCAAGTCCTTGCCCCAGCCTGTTGCCACAGTGTGTTCTTGGGCAAAACACTTCACTCTTACACTGCCTCACTCCACCCAGGTGTATAAATGGGTACTAGTAAATTATCAGGAAAACCTGACAAAGAGCTGGGGGAGTACCTGTGATCGACTGGAGTCCCATCCAGGGGGAGTAGCAATACTCCTAGTCAGGATTGCAGATACCCATTTTTGGGGGGGTATGCAACAACAGCACCCTCCCAACACCTACACCCAGTGTTCTCCACTTAATTTTTCAATGACCGGGCGGTAGGTGGCGTTCTTTTGTGAGTGGGTGCTGCACGTTTCATTTTGTTGAGAGGGGGGGGGGGGGAGACATGGTTTATTTTGTTGAGGGGGGGATGGGGAGACACGGTTTATTTTGTTGAGAGGGGGGTGGGGGGGACATGGTTTATTTTGTTGAGTTGGGGGTGGGGGTGACACGGTTTATTTTAATGAGCGGGGGGTGGGGGAGACACGGTTTATTTTGTTGAGGGGGGGGGGGGTGACACGGTTTATTTTGTTGAGCGGGGGTGGGGGAGACACGGTTTATTTTGTTGAGCGGGGGATGGGGGAGACACGGTTTATTTTGTTGAGGGGGGGGGGGGAGACGCGGTTTATTTTGTTCAGCGGGGGATGGGGGAGACACGGTTTATTTTGTTGAGCGGGGGTGGGGGAGACACAGTTTATTTTGTTGAGTGGGGGGGGGGATGCATTTTATTTAATTAATATTGTGCACTCAATACTTTTCACTGTCGGTACTTCATTTGAGCCGGATCTAGGCGGAACGTGTACTGGGAACTCACTATTTTGACCGTCAGCTTTCCCGTATCTATTTACACAGATCTGCCACCTCTCTTGTATAAAAAAAAAAAATGGCAAATAGACATTTCACTGTTTATAGTATGTTTGATTCCATAAGCTGCCCATCCGAATCATATATAAGATATAGGTATTTAAACACATTAATGCGCCTATAGTATGAGATCAGTTTATGCTTATCGGAAAAGATGCATGGAAAAAACATTAAATAGTAGCCAATTCCTACATGGTGTGAAACAGATCCACTCCAGTATGTTCCCAAGAAATGAAAGTAGCAGGTTAAATGGAAAAAGTAGCCGGTCCTGCACTTGGTGCCATACCTTTGCTCGGCCTGTAGGGGGTCCTTAGGCATGCTTCCTCAGATTTTTTTTTTAATGGCATTACCGGACCCGCATGTGGGGGCTTATCCTAGCTGCTCATACTAGGTTTACTGAGCTCGTTGTCTAGGGAAAAATAAGTGGCACTACCTTTTCCCCACAGCAGGTCTAATAGCTGAGACCAGCTGGCTGGTCAGTAGACTGGCTGTGGTCCTGACTGGGGCTCTTGAGAGGCCTGACTTTACCTCCCCAAAGGCACGCGCAGGTGGTAGCACTGGCCGTGACTTCACCGAGAACCGCTTACCCGTCTGGCTGTCGGAGTATGGCCGGAGCGGCAGGCGAAGTGCAGCGCAGGACGAAGTGCAGCGCTGCAGCGTCGTCAGTTCAGTTCAGTTCATGAGTTTTCTTAAAATTTCCCTGGCGTTTCGTCAACAAGGACCCAATGGGGGCAGCGTTGTAAAAAATAAGAGTTCGTAGGCAATGGGGCCAGAAAACTTCCCTAGTTAAAGAAAATTCCAGGTCGCTTTTCGCTCTTTGCTCAACCCACCACGCCGTTCTTCAGAGGGTCACTCTTCACTGTGCTCCTTCTTCGCGCAAGCGTTTCGAAAAGATCTTCCTCCCCTAACTTCCGCCATGTCAGCAATATCGAGTTCACACAGGTGAAAACATCACATGGTCAGCACACCCTCACCCCAATCAGTCCACAACCAGGGAAATCACTAGATGAGTGTATTACCAATTAGAATAATATTAATCATAATAATAAAATAGTGCTCCTAATCTACGAGCCTATGAGTTGGAGAATTTATAGTGGCACTCAAACTAATTCCCATACTTCCCACGGGGGATAGGTTGTTGGTTACAATGGTTCATTTTGGTGCATTCTAGTGCAACTTAGACAGCGTAATGGCTGTATTTTAAAGAGGATAGTTTTGGGACTTTCTGGTCAAGTTTAACCTTTTTTTTGTTAAAGTTGAATGTCCTTTCTTAAGCAATATGCTACTATTTCAATCACAGTATCAACTAGCACCACAAACACTAGTACATTTAATACTAAAAGCAAGCATAAATTACTCACTCAACCACCGAAGCAATTATTTCTTTGAACCATTTATTCTATTTAATAATTATTTATTCTTTATCTCGTATCGGTGGCCGGTCTTATCCTGTAGTATGACAAACTGTACAATTAACATTTTCTTACCATTAAAATTTTATTTCAGTTCTTCAGTTCTTTCATTTATGACATGACATATTTACCTTTAAATGTCTGTGGCCCTTTCTTTGGCACTAAATTATTAGCCATTTATCGTGACAAAATGGAGATTCAAGCAAAAACTTGAATAAGTTCCAAAAAACTGCAGTAATAGCAATATCAAAAACTGCATTCAGTCCTGGCAAAAATTACGATATTTTTACATTCAAGGATGTTCATCTAGCTATTTTACTTCATAGCAAATAAAAAAATCGAAGATATGACGCAAAACAGTTTTTGTTTATCTTAACATTCAGCTTTCATGAAACACTCCTCAAACCAATTAAAGATTCAATTATTTAAATTGATTGATTTTTTAATGAATTAAAAGCAAAACATGGAATAGAATGGAAAAGGGAGTTTTTCATATGTCCCATTTAAACTGCAAAAATAAGCTGATAAACTGGTTAAACTAAATTTGAAATAAGTGAAATATGTTGCATCATTGTACACAAAATAAATGTGCCTACAGCGAGTATTGATAAATTCACAGATTTCAAATTTGGACCTCACTCCACCCCATATCTACATCATTAAACACAGGGCAAAATGAGACACGTGATTAACCGGTATCAGAATAGTTATCACCCCTTGAGACTATACTACTCGGAATGATAGGGCCTCGGAGTTACATTAGATTTCATAGACAGGCACCTAAGTATTTGAGATGCAAGCAGCTGAATACTTGAATACATGCATGACAAGAACAAAGAGGTGTTTCAGCTGAAGGATGGTTGAAAATGAAATTCAGACATGAAAGAGTGAGAGAAACAGACTTCACACATTTCTCATGGGGAAACACCAGTGAGAAGGGTGAGCTAATGTCAGTTAATCTGGATCAAGAAGAAGCAACATCTTTCACATTTTAATTAAACTGATTCTGTTAGCTGACCCAGGTGACAGAAACAGTGTGATGGTTCAAAAACTCGTGCCAGGAGATGCTATTTACTGCTGCTCAATAATCAGTTTCTAGCCTTCTCTCTCTGTATTTGCTCCCTCTCTGGTCAATAGTCCGCCAGTACAACTTTTTCCCTTTCTTTTTCTCATAAAAACAACAAATACTGGGTCTCAGAAACATGTAAATAAATATAGATATAGAAAAAGGCACGTATCATACATATTGATTTGGGCGCACAAATACCCATGCACTCACAGACCCACACACGCACACACACACACACACACACACACACGTGCACTGTCAGAGGAAGAGTAAAGCAGGATTACTCCCAGTGGTTGGGCACACAAGGCGATTAGCAACAAAAGGATCAAGCCCCAAGCAATTCTTGTTTCTAGATCTTTTTATCATGCAGTGAAGCAACGGACCCCACAAGTGCCACAAAGCTGCGGCTGGTGTCAACAAGATGGACTGAGATATGTGTCACTAACAGACCCCAGTGAGGGAAGCAAACAGCACACCAAGGAAAGCACAGAAAAGCCCAATGCACTTTCTTTGGGCTCTGGAGGGAACGATGGCAGCACTGCCACAGAAATGAAAGACAAGGAAATATAAATCAAGGAAAGAGACTTTGTTCATCACATGCAGTACAGTATGAGCTAAAACATAGAATTTTTTATCCTTTTTGGTGTAGGTAGGTTTATTTTTATACCAATAAAATGATCCACAATGTCTTTGACACAGTTATTTTGTTTTATTATTTTTTTTACAGCAGCAAAGCATGGGCCCGCCCAATAAACGCTGAAGTCTGTGACTGAGTGATTGATGAAAATCAAGGAGCACTTTCACAGCATGTGCATGCATAAACTTTAACAACATGAGAAGATTTGCAAAGGTCACAGACTCAAAGATTTACCAGGAGAATCTTGTGGACATTTCAAACCTTTTGTTTGAAAGGATTTTGATACTGTTTTGCCATCCAGCTTTCGTCAACTACAGGCATAATAATAAGACATCCATACAGATTTAGTTTGACCCAAAAGTGACAAATAATGTCACGATTCCAGAGAAGACAACTCGGGTAAAATTTTTTCATTGCCTTACATCCCAGCAAGGCAAAAAGGAACAAAGATATTATTATCTTTGTGAACTTTAATCACTAGAAAGTGTGAGAGCACTTGCTCTGCAAAGAAAACAGGACAAAGCAATTGGGGATGCCCGTGTAAAGGAAAAAATCATTAGTCTTGCTGACTTTGCCATGGTGCTAGTTGACCATATCAAACCCGAGCTAAATAAAAACTCAAACCAACTGATTCTTATTTGAAATAGCTCTTCATCCAATAAATTAACTAATTAAAACAAAACTTATAAAGAATTTGAGTTGAAAAAACCTAAGGACTCAAAAAAAAGAAAAAAAGGTCAAACATAATAATCAATCTACAAATGACAATCTAACTGCTGAAATATTCTAGAGCACAAGGATTGCAACAAAAACACTTGATACGAAGATCCTCTAAATTTTTCGCATCTCTTGAAGACATAAGGTGAAATGTTTCAAAATTGGAGCAAAGATTTGCGCGTGCACATATCATGATAGTGCCCCTTTAAACCACTGATCAGTCATCAAAGATAAAATTTTACCATTGGTTGGTCGAGCATTGGGAGTTTCCCCATTGGTTACTGCTCTTTCAAAGTGAATAGCTGCTACTAT